TCATCAACTTTTCAAGGTTTTTTTTTTCTGGCACAAACCCAACATCCTGTAGATTATGACGTCATTAGGGTCCAAATTACCTACAGGTTTTTTTGGACTTGGGCCGGAGGATGTTTGTGCAAACTGTTTTCAATCTAAAATGATGAACCCTTTAACTTCTTCGGAAATGATAGGTTAAAGCTAAGCTTTCGCCGTTCCATGGCATCGTTAGGGATGATAAAAAGATTTCGAGTGTCCAGTAGTTTTTAACGGTAAGCAAATTAATGTAAAAGTAAAAAGTACGTGAGATTGCGGTAAAGTAGATAAGTTGTTTAAAAGTTTTCAATGTTGTACGTATAAAATAAAAAATCTGTTTAGATGTACCAGTTGTAAGGAAAAGTTTCCGCCAGCAAACTTGTTGCAGTTCTCCATGGTACGAATTGAGAGAAAGTTTATACCTTCTTAAGTAAAATCATTCGACACATCATGCGTACACTTACGGGACGTCGCTTTCTTGTGGAAATGCATTTTCAGTCTTTTCAGGCAGTGGTCTCGACATGTAGAGATGTGTTTCAGTCTCAAGAGAGGAACTGTTTTTGTTTACGACGTATTAAGGCCCACGAGATCGTGCTTCCGAGTAGTCAAAGGAAACTGAAATGTTGGGCGCACACTAACTGGGTTTTACTGAGGAACTAATATTCATGATCATTGCGAAAAGATCCAATGTTTGCGGGAACTAGTTTGCGCGATTTTATTTTTAAATTGTACTAAGCGAGCACAAACTGGCAACTGAGTTTCCCCCTTGATACTGATGTCACTACCTTACCACGTTATTTCGGCAACCGAAGAAGTGCAATATGATTTTTATCACCTTTATTTGCTGATTATTTATAGGAACTCATGCCAGGCCGTAAAAATTCAGTCAATCAGACTACAGGTGCCGTTGTACAATCAAGCACGATATCAATGGATCACGAGTAGTCACGGATCCTTTACGGCGAAGTCCATCGCATGAGTCCAAAAGAATTGGTTAAAAAAAACATTTGACGTGAACGCGCCGTGGGGAGCCCTTGGAGTGACGGCTATGTGCCACGGGAGAGCTCCATGAGTGAGGCACTCTAAAGTGATAAAGAAAAGGCACCTCTCTCATGGACCTCCAGCGACGCACTGACGTCACTCCAAGAAGCTCTCCGCAGCGCCCAAAAATCAATTTTTTCACTGATTTTTTTAATCGCGGACTTCGCTGAAAAGGAGGGACTGCTCGTGGTGTACGATATTAATTCCGCTAAAATCTACAATAATAAGCAGTAACACGGCTAGTTTCCTTCAAGCGTTTGACCGCAATTAACAACTTTATTTCCCATCTATTTTTGGCATCGAAATTTAATCGATGTATTTTTAGAGTTTTAAGTGGACAGTGAGGAGCTGGTTCCAAGGCAATCAAAATGATTTCTGCGGTAAAATGACTAATATTAGAAGGATTAAGTTGGCTCTTTTTTTTCTACATAGTTATTTAACACTTTCTCGTTCTATACCATAGAATATCCCATTTGTCACCTTCATTTCCGTGGCATATTCACAGCTATTCCTGACAAAAATAAAGCGCGTGGTATGTTACATGGTACACCACGAGATTGGGTTACATAACCTGTAAGTGTTTAAAAATACGCTATTAATAACAATATTGAAAATATATTATATAACATGACGTGTGGCTACTGAAAAAGGTTTGAAAGGTGACAGGGGATAGACGATATTGAGTTACTGATCACAGTCTATCAAATTTATTAGTGCTTGATTGGTACAAAGACCTTGGCCTTACTGATTATCCTGATAATCCTAACTTAGCCAAAATTCATGAGGGTGTCACACACGCCCATTTAAAAGTTCTTCATCAGAAACATATGAATGTCAGAAGACTTAGCAGAATTCGTGCTGAGACTGATGATGATGATGTGAAACTTCTACAGTGTTATGTAATGCTGGATTGCATCGTCTGATTAAAATTTTCATCTGAAATTTTTCCTCTTTTGGGATTGCAATAACAGGGAAGACCAGCTGCGGAGCGCACCACGTCAAGTAAGCAAAAGGCACTAAGGGCTCTCGTCCTGTCTTTTACGGTCTTCTTTTTAAAATCTGTATTCTGTAATACATGCCTACTAACCGTGATAATTCGATTTAACGCCTGGGGCGCTCATTTATTTATGGTGCGTCTACGATGGGGGCGCTAATTAGGGCACTTATTAGATCTTGATAGGAACAGGGCGTGCAATTTTTTTTTAAGAAATAGCTGAATGTGCAAAACAAATCTTTGATGTTTATCTAAGAAGGAACAACAGCAGAAGTTGTAAAAGCGCAAATATACTGTGAATATCCGTATATTAATGGTAAGGAATATACTCTGGTGGTACTATCAGTGAAACAGAATAGTGTCGCTTACGCAATAAGGTCGCTTATCAACGAAAAGAAATTCGAGGTGGGGGGAAAGGAGTGGAGCTTACTAGAGGGGAGGGCGCTTAGTGGAACGAGGGCGCTTAATCGAATCATTATGGTACATCAAAATCGCTTCACTCAGGTTAACTCTGGTGGACTGACTAGTACTCTTATCGATCTCTCTCTATCTCTCTCTATCTCTCTCCCCCCCTCTCTCTCTCTCTGACTCTACACTTACCCTATCATTAAAGCTAAAGCACGTGCTCTTACACTAACTATCGAGCGAGTATGCTGGCCAACCTGACCTTGGAGGATTTAAATCCCTGTTGTCAGGTCACTAACCCAAACACTTTTACAGGAATCTCGCATGTTTTATTTATTTATGTATTTTTTGTTTTGTTTAAGAATCTCGCCTATAAAAAAACAATGTAGTTAATGCTTCCGATCTTACTCTTTGACTGCCTAACCAAAACAAGAACTTAAGTGTGGGTACAAGGCAAGGTCAGCAGACAAACTAAGCACTTTCACTGATGAAAGTCAGACAAGACAGTCACAATTAGAAGGCTCATTACAGTAGTTTTTGTCTGAATAACTTCGGACTTTAGAGTTGCTAAGTTTAGCTCCGACCATCCCCTAACCCTCCCCCGCTTCCTCCCACTTAGTCTCCGAGAGTCCGTCTGTCCATTTTGCCTCACGTGAATTTTTGTCTTAGGAAGCCTGGAAACGGTTGCCTTGAGACATTCATTGATCGTTTGAATAATACGTCAATGCACTAACTTTCTTCGATCCTCGCTTAGCAACGACCCATAAGACGATACGCTGCTCAAGTGAACTAAATATCAGAGAGTATTTTTACACATGATACGAGAGTAAGGATTAAAAATCTGCATTGGAGAATTTTAAGTGAAGTGTCGAAAGGCCTCGAAAGTGTTCGAGTATCAAATTTGTGTCACTTTGCTCCGCTGAGTGATAAAGTCCGTGCTCACCTCAGTCACTCGAATGCTACAACGCGGTTTACTTTAAAAAAAGATCGTGTTCCTCATAAAAGTTGCTTAAACTGATGTTTGTTGATTTCTAATTTAGCACAATGAAGAAATCAGCTACAGTTTTATGTAGCTGATTTTCATCCAGGTTTAGGTTTACCTGCACATGTCTTGCTGGTGTGAATGAGGCATAAGACGGACAGTCGGATGGGTGAGGGGAAAGTCCATGAGAGAGCGAGACGAGATAAGCTAGATTCCCATATCTTTGGCCAAGCTTCGCGCCAATAAACTCCCTTTAATTTGCCACAATCATGAGGGGGATATGACTGGAACAGAGGACTCGCGTCATTCTATCAACCTATCAGATACAAACACCAAGCCATTTATCCACTTTTGCAGTGAGTCTCTTGGAGCTCTAATTGGTTCCCTACGTAGGATATTGTTATTATTATTATAATTATTATTTTATTTCCCACTAAGGTTCACCGATCATTAACAGGATATGTCACCTGTAATGTCACGCGACCCTTGAGTCATGTTTTATTTAATTTTAAAGCTTTGGAATTGCGATTTAATCGTCGAGGAGTCCTTATCAACCGCTGCTTCCGAAATGGGCGATTTACCCAACAGTTTCTCTCATTCGCTATCTATCCAGTCCACTGGAATCCTAAGGAAAGAACGAGTTGGCTGGACAATCCTTGCCACTTTTATTGCAGCTATTGGCCCTGTAACCTTTGGTTACTGTGTGGGGTATTCTTCGTCAGCACTGCTTGATTTACAGAACGAAAATGCACCTTCCGATGTTCGCCTATCGTCCGAACAAGCATCGTGGTTTTCAGTAAGTTCAATGGCACTTTTTTATTATGATATTATCAATAGGAAAATAATTATGCTGATTCTGCGCGAAATTCTGACCACAGCTTCTAAAGTTTTTGCGATTTTTAACTTTTTTTTCCTTTTCAATAAACGTTATTCTTAATACAGCTTGGAGCTATTTTTCTATCTGAGCGGTGCGGCGTTATTCACGGAGAGTCAAAAATAAAAATTAGGCTATAGTTTTGTCTCAATTAAAAATTGGTCGGTGAAAGCACGTTAGTCGTTAATCAGTTTCTCCCCTGCTCCCAAAGTCTGAATGCTTGCGTGATACAACAAGAAACGGGCGAGACATCTGACAATCCCATGAACAGACCAGAAGACACATGACATTGCATAGACAGCCAGCGAGCACGTAGATATTACGCTCTACGTTGACCACTCTTTACCTGTCAAGAATTTTTATTGATAAGAAATTTGGAGCTAAATCGTCAAGATGTTGAGGATATGTTACGAACAACCATATTTCAAGCGCATAGTGATGGAAAATAAATAACAATACCAAAAAGAAAAAAGAACCCTAGTGTTTGCTATCGTGCGATTGAAGAGTTTGCTGGTAATTTATATCATTTTATTTATTGTTTTCGACAAATTTGGCATTCAAAGCGATAAAATTTAAGCGTACATATATTCAATAATCTGGGAGTACGAACAAGGATATTTCTGTCTGACGTCGGGAAAAAAAAAAAACTACTGAGCCCAGCTCGAAGAGCAAGACATTAATCATTGGAAATCGATGTCACTTCTGTGTTTGTAATGTTTGCAAGATTATCTTTAAAAGGGAATTTTTCGCCAGTTCTGCAGAGAGGATCCGAACGAAGGGTCAAATGCCACGGCTTTTCCAGTTAAGAGAATCTTTATTAATAAATGACACACCGGATAAATTTGTTCCCGTTTGTTGTAGTAATACACTTTCATTTCACGTTTAATCCGCGTTCAATTCACGAGCAGCAGCCTTTAATCCGCGCTCGGCCGCGTTCGTGAGCGTTAAACGCGAACAGGGAAACCAAAATTCGACGTCCTTTACAGGGAGCATTTCCACCTTAATGAGCCGTGTAATTGCAGCGCAAATACGATAGCGTTACGCGTCTCTTGAAATCATCCACGAAAATGGTCCACAAACGAACGGCTTTCTGGACAAGGTATAGTCAGAAAACGAAGCTTTGCGTATAAAGCTAGTAATTTCTATCTCTAAAAGCGCACAGTAAATTATGTCAGAGGTTTTTTACTTCATATGGCCATGGATAACAAAGAATTCGTTGAACAGTGCAGCGCAACTGAATGCGACACGTCACACGTCCGTTGAAATCCTATCGCGACAGTGACCGGATAAGAAAGGGTAGGTTGGAAAATATGAAATGCAGGAATTCGTAACCGGAGTACCAGGAATTCCCGGAATGATCGAAAAATTATAATGCTATATGCAGTAGAGTCACTTTAGAAACCGAGAGCACTGTATACTGGATCTTTCCATTATACTTTAACTTAAACGAGTCTCGAGTTTCACTACGTTGCTCAAAGTTTCCTTTGTTTTGTCTTTTTCATATTTTTCTCAACCAGAAACTTTTATTATACTACATAGAATCGTGTATAGAGAGATTCCATTCCTCAAAGTATTTCTCTCAGCTTGAAATTACTTCGCGACGTGAGCACACATCACCTGGGACTCAGCAATGTCCCGATGTTCACATGTTTTTTTCATAACTTTCCCACAAACTGTTCAAGGTCATAATTCAAGCCTCTCTTCGTTGTTTATTTTTACACCTGACGATGCTTTTTAAGAAGTACAATTCGGAAACTAGTTATGATCTTCAGAAACCCTTCAGTATTGTCCACTTTACTAACAAATGCACCTCGAGATAAAGGGTTTTTGTCGATCAGGCGACCGCAGTTAACTGACAGTTTGATCGCTGGGGGATCATGCAAAAGCATTGAATAAACAGGCAAACATAAACCGTGGGAAAGTTTGCGATTTTTAAATTATGTACATTTTTAAAAGGTTGTTCCTGTATCGGCACTCTTCTGGAAGAATTTACCAATAACGCGCTGAGCTTATCGGCTGGTTTTAATAGTAGCTGCTTGGATTGCTCCCAATGTGTGGTTAATAATTATTTAAGGTATAGTATTAATTTGTAATAGTTCCAAGATTCGGAAATTTTTACAATTGAACTATTAAACTAATTGGAAATATTGCATTTGTTTAATCTTCTGCAACGGTTCTGGCTTGAAAGGCGCGGCAGCCTAATAGTTATAGCACCTTAGACATCCAGGTGTATAAATGAGTACAGGCGAATTTAAAACGGGGAGTAACCCTGTGATGGACCAGCCGTCCTATCCAGGGGGAGGGGAGAGTAGAAATATTTTCGTCACCTAGGCTGTATGGACTACTGACATGACGCAGACTTTTTTAATTTCTAGTATGTACATCACCATAAACAGTGCCGATAGGTGGTTATTTATTTAACGCCACGGGATCCTCAAAGAAAAATTTTGTATTTAATTATATAATTAAGTTATAAATTTACCATTAATTATTAATGAACATTCAATTAATTATTAATTATCATTATATTCTTATTTCTTTATTAATTTTAGTTTAATTTTTTTAAATTTATCATTTTTCATTCACTCCGGGAATTCCGGCCGTTCCAAGTATTCCTATTCTGGTTTCGAATTCCAGCATTCTTTATTTTCCAACCTACTGATAAGAAAGCTAACTTTGAAATATCCCGCAGCGCTTTTTCTTCGCATCAGGCATATTCCGAGATCTTCACTCTGCGAACAGGCATTATTTCCTCTTTTCTTAGCGTTTCAGGTGAACGGATAGGAGATAAGTGTAAGGCGGGTGCGGAAAAAGTGCGTGGCTAACGCGCGAAAAACACGAGAAGCGAGACACGCGCAAGTGGACAAGCGCGAAAAAAGTGGCGCGTAATTTTGTTCGTACTCTTCCTCTCTCGCGTGATTTTTACCTCACCTTCTTCCCACACTCGCCCTGCATTAGTCCACGCTGGTAGAAAAAAACGGCGCTCCCATGCCCCAACCCCCTCCCCCCCTTCAAAAAAAAGTGTCACCTGGGAGGGCGCTCTAGTGATATTTGGACTGCTAGCAAGCTGCACAATGGGTGTAAATTTTTGGTAGTGCCGCTGTCCAGATGTTAAATTCTGAGAAACATTTTTTTTCAAAACACTGTAAATCACTGAATATGCTAATCATGGCGTCTTGATGTCGCTTGTGTTTAGCAAAGTAGATAACAATGAGCCACAATACATCTTCCACCTGAGAAGACCCCTCACCTTGCCATATTTTAAACGACCACTTCCTCAATCCGGCTGGTCTTAAATGCGTGCATACCGTTATATCCATGAATATCTAATTTTTAAAATGAATTATTTCCAGTCTTTGCTCAATGTGGGTGCTATTGTTGGAAGTCTTATCGGTGGATGGGCGATTGACAAGTTTGGTCGAAAGGGTACCATCGTTTTATGTGCGATACCTTTCGAGATCGGATGGCTCCTCATAAGCTGTGCTCATCACGTTTCCATGTTTCACGCTGGCCGGATCATTACAGGCTTAGGCATCGGTGTAATTTCACTTGCTTACCCGGTAAGACATAAGGGCTTAAAGTAACATCAGATTTCAGACCTTAAGGTCCATTCCACCGTAGTTTACTCCGGTTTTAAAAGTCTAAAGCGAGTGTGAGCAG